CCCCTTCTTGTTCCGTACAAAAAGGGAATGTAAAAGGGCCATTTTTTTCTTCTGAGGTTTTACCTTTCAGCACCAAAAAATGGACATAATGTTTTTCAGATCCTCTTTTCCCGTAGGTCAGAGAATCCCCCCGAAAGTTTAGATAGACCCAAAGTTTCGTTTAGATTCATGTTTGGGTTTTAAAAAAAATGATGCTACTCTCGAAAACAGGTAATTTGGATCAACCCGGTTTACTTGGGTTAGATGAAAGTGAAGATATCACCTCCGATACCATAAAAAGTCTTGACTAGGGCTCAGACCAAAGCCCAGGCTTCTCCTACTAATCCATCCTTTGATTTTCCCTGACTTTAAGCCTTTAGATATATCGAAGGACTCCTTTGTCAAGTTACAACGTAATTACCCTTCTCTTCAGAACTGCCATAATGCCGCTAAACAAAATCAAGTTATCCAAAGGAAAAACTTTTCATATAAATTTGAATATATAAAAGGTATCTTGTACAAGTCAGTATTCAAATTAAATTCAGATGAGATAGACTATTCCATCTTAGCTGTTCCACTTCAATGCAGAGAGAATGTTCTTAAAATGGCTCATGACCTGCCAGTGGCCGGACATTTCTCGCATCGTAAAACCTTAAATAAAATTAGGGAAACCTATTTTTGGCCAAAAATGTCCTCAGATGTCACTACCTATTGTAGATCGTGTAAAGTTTGCCAACTGTCATCCTCCCGAGGTACCAGGCGAGTACCTATGGTCAAAATGCCGTCTTTACGGTACCGTTCGAAAGAGTAGCTATTGACATCGTTGGTCCTTTATCTCCACTGTCATCTGGGGGACATAGATATATATTAATAATAGTTGATTATGCTTCGAGTTTCCCTGAAGCCATACCCTTAAAGACCATAACTACTACAGAGGTGGCTGAAGCCCTTTTGTCCATCTTCTCCAGAGTGGGCATCCCTAGAGAAATTTTGTCTGACCGTGGGACACAATTCACATCTGACTTAATGCAACATCTATACCAACTTCTAGGAGTGAAGCCTCTCTTCACCACACCCTATCATCCCAGCTGTAATGGGAGGATTGAGCGCCAGCATTCGATTCTCAAGTCCATTCTAAGGAAACTTTGCTCCCTTAAACCTAAGGAGTGGCATCGTTACCTACCCTGTGCTTTGTTTGCCATGAGGGAAGTTCCCAGTGACTCTTTGGGGTTTTCACCTTTTGAACTTCTCTATGGTAGACAGGCCAGAGGCCCATTGTCCATCCTTCATGACTTATGGACTAATGAGGAGGTGAGTGCTGAGGTTCAGTCTTCTTATTTGTGGGAAAGTTGACTACCTCATAGAAGTCAAGGGGAAACCTAAACTTTATCATATCAACATCCTTAAGAAATATTACCGAAGAAATTCGGTTAACTGCCTTAATAACTTTGACTTAGTTTTTCCACACGAACTTGATAAAACAACTGAAGAATGTAAAGTGTGTGTAATTGACACCTCTAACTTAGACTATGATGAAGAACTACATGACTTGGTAACTCTTGACCACTCGGGCGCAACCAACATTAATATTAATGAATCTTTGGATGACCATAAGAGACATGAACTACTTCAATGTGTGAGTAACTTTTCAGACGTCTTTACTGATATTCCAGGTGTTACCTCCACGGTAGTCCATAAGATTGACTTAGTGACGGACAATCCTATCAAACGAAAATTATACCCAGTTCCAGTTCACCTTAGGGATGCATTTGACCGAGAGGTAGACATATTATTAAAACTAAAGATCATTGAACCTTCAGTATCTGCATATTGCTCACCAGTAGTCATAGTTAAGAAGGAGGATAATTCATATAGACTTGCTATTGACTTCAGAGGCCTTAATGCTATAACTCGGTGGGATGCTGAGCCTATGCCCTTAATAGATAGCGATCTACACAAATTTTATGACGCTTCCTTCTTTTCAGAGATTGATTTTGCGCAGGCATATCATCAAGTAATGTTAGATCCTTCTTCTAAGCAGTACACCGCTTTTCCTACACACCAAGGACTGATGCAATATAGAACTATGCTCTTCGGTTTGGTAACTACCTGTGCTACCTACGTGAGACTGATAAGAAAGGTCTTGGGTAACATGCAAAATGTTTCAGTATATTTTGATAACATTTACGTAATGACATCCACGTGGGGCGAACATATCCAAACATTAAAATCAGTTTTGCATAGGTTACGCTCACATGGCCTCACTGCCAAGCCGAAGAAATGCTTCCTTGGGTATAACAAGATTAGATATCTTGGACTGATACTTTCTAATAACTCTCTGCAGCCTCTCCCCAGTAAGATCAAAGCTTTATTAGAATTTAAATTCCCCAAAACCAAGAAGCTCATGCGTAGTTTTCTTGGTTCTGTAAATTTTTATGCACGGTTTATCCCGAACTTTACTGATCTTACAGGCATCTTATCCAACTTCCTTAAAAAGTCTGTGAAGGAACCTCTTGAACTTTCCGACATAGCTCGGGAAAAGTTTAATGAGATTAAAAGCATCTTTTCGAAAGACCCTATACTTAAGATTCCAGATATTAATAAAACATTTTGCTTAAGAACTGATGCCTCCAATACTGGCTTAGGTGCGGTGTTACTACAATACCATGATGGTACTCCCTTCCCTGTATGCTTCCTAAGCCGGAAACTCCTTCCTGCAGAAACGAGATACTCCACAATAGAAAAGGAATGTTTAGCCCTTGTGTGGGGTATCTCCAAACTTAAATTTTATTTGCTGGGAAAAGAATTCATTTTAGAAATGGACCACAAACCTTTGATATACCTAGAAACTTTTAAGGGAACCAACAGTCGCCTCTTGAGGTGGACATTGGCACTCCAGGCTTTTAAGTTCCATATTGTGTATATCAATGGTTCATCCAATTATTTCTCTGACTGGTTAAGTCGTGACAGTCAGTAGAAGATTTGTTGCCTTACGCGACTTCTACATGTTAGAACTTTTTCCTCGCCTATTCTTCTTATACTATAAGTCTTGGTATGGGGGAGTGTGAGGGAAAAGTTCAATAGATAGGAGTAGCGAGGGAGTATATAGTAACAATAGTTTCATTGCCGGCTACTTGTTAAGGTAGGGTAAGTCAAGCTCCCGCTATTCCCGCCTTTTTTTCCACCTCCTCGAAAGTGATAGTTTGCTTGCCGGCTACTTGTTAAGGTAGGGTAAGTCCAGCTCCCGCTATTCCCGCCTTTTCTCCCCCACCCCTAAAGTGATAGTTTGATTGTCGGCTGCTTGTTAACGTAGGGTCAGTCTAGCTCCCACTATCCCTTCCCCTCCCTCTTCCCCCCCCCCGAAAGGTGACGTGTGGGGCTCTGGTCAAACAGTAAATCACTCGACTCACAGCTCCCAACACTACTCTTGGATGACAGAGAGGGTCACCTGTCAATCAACGAGAAGAACTGAAGGAGACGGACTAACGTCCTGGAGACGTCCCATATTGGATTTACTTGCCTGTGCACTTGTATGAAGAATCAGGACATAACCCCTCATCATTACAGCGGTCAAGAACCTGATCTCCTGTCATCGGGAAAGATTACTTACAGCCACTAGAACGAGCCAGTGGGTTGTAACCAACACCTGCGACCTCCCCCCCCCATCATCAGCAACGGCTTCGATTTCAACAACACAGTGTCACCAACACCAGACACCCAAGTTTTAAATTAGTGTTGAATTCAGTTATTTATATTTTTCATTTTCTTTAATGTAGGATTAATAATTCATATTTCAGTGTTTTATATTTTATATGTTCTATATAATAAAGTGTTTATGTTTGTCTTTTATTATTTTTTTTTCTATTAAATTTAATTTTCCCTGAGGAGGAGCCAGCCTTGGTAATACGTCTAAGTTTTTTATAGAGTAGTAACCCCTTCACAGTCATATCCCCAGAGCTGGAGCTTTTGGTCATCTGATGAGGCCTTCCGTTGGTTATGGGTTCACATGAAGGAAAAAGAGATTTTTTTTTAAAAATGCAAATTCCAACTATGGTGGAAAAGTTTGTACATTATAAAATAAGTCCTGGGAGCGCACTTTTTCTCAGCTTTTAAAGAGAAATTTATTAAACAGCAAACAATGTTATTTATTTGGGTCACCGTCACTGCTGTAAGTAAAAATCTAAAAAACTTTTATTTTTTTAGGACCAAAAGGGGAACTTATTTTTTTTTGGGCAGGATTCTGGCCCTTAGAATCGTGTTTAACCCTGGTTTCCCCAGTCAAACCCCCAACCCACACATAGCTTTGCTCTAACGAACCCTACACATTACCCCATCATGACACCACTTGGACACCATTTTTTTTTTATCACCAACAAAATAGCAACAATACCCCAGTCCCCAATTTTCCTCATCTTGCGACCTTAACCTCAAATTGATAAAATTGCTTTTGTAGCAGCTTATGTGAATTTCAAGTGTTGATGATGGATCTGCTAACTTCCCAGCTAGATTGGTCCGATGGATCCAGCAACTCTAGGACAAGAACTGGTCTGGTCCCGGGCTGGAGGGAAGCATGATGCCAAAACCCGGCCCAAAACCCCTGAATCATCGGTTTTTGACAGTGTCAATATAATCATTATGAGGTGGTCCTAGGTAGACCCCACCTTTAAAGGCCTCACGGTCCGGAACCTTCTGTAATGTCCCACTAGGTGCAGGGGCACACTTTGACCTAAGGGGGCAATGTCACTCTTTCCCCCTCCTTTTTTAGACTGTGTGAAAAATCACATAGTTACCGTAGAATTGAGGTCGGGTCAACCTGTCCGTCAGGGTTTCATAAATTTTCCCTCTCACATTTAAAAATTTCAAAAGCTTTGCTCTGTTTTTTTTAACAGCTCATATTTTTATAATCAAAAAGAAGGTAAAAACCTACAAAAGATACAGCAGTAACGCCCTTTACAATGCTGAAATAATGATCTTAGAACCCACTTCAACCAGTCTGATGAGGAAGGCATCTTTTTCACAATGTGACTCCAGTCCTGGCATTAAAAGCATCTGTGGTGAGGAGGAGGGTCTGTATAAGCCGATTTTGTATTGCCTATCAAGTGCCATATGTGAGTGGATGAAGGGTGGGAGAGGCACTGAATCTGTCCATCTCTCTAATTTCAGTTGTTAAAAACTCGACAGGGTTTTGGAACTAACGTCATCAGGTACTTGGGAGTCAAGAATATGTCGATATCGTAGATGGCAACATCACGTCTCTGTGGTGCCCCTGGGAAGGTAGGTGCCTGGAGGGAGGTCTTTGTGGTGCCCCTGGGAAGGTAGGTGCCTGGAGGGAGGTCTTTGTGGTGCCCCTGGGAAGGTAGGTGCCTGGAGGGAGGTGCTTAAAGTAGTACTTACACTTAACGAGGTAAGTACTACTTTAACTTAAAATATCATAGGCCAGACGCAACACGCAACGCCAAGCACAACACAAATCATTTTCGCTATTACGAGAAATATAGTGACCTGTGAACCTACAATCCTGGTGTTACAACACACACAACAAGACATCTGAATCAATACTTTGCATAAAAAAACTATATGCAGATATTTTAATTCTGACATGATTTTGTCGGGTAATTCTACCAACATTATTACAGTTTATTGTGCATCCGCAGCTCATCCTGTTAGTGGCAGCACAAACAAACAGGATTGCAGAGGTCACAATGGGTCTTCTTCAGACTACACTGAGTACCGTTACATCATCAGAAAGAAATATTAGTAATTTTGCATTTACAATTACTTTATATAATTGTTGTACAAGTACAGTAAAGAATACTGTACTCTATACAACAGTTACTCCAGTCCGTGATCCCTGTGTTCTTCCTGTACCACTCCAGCTGTAGGACTACACTTAAAAGCCGTTCAGGCGGCAAAAAATTAAACCATGATGCTGGAGGACATATTACTGACCTGCTGGGTGAGTCGGGTATGTCTGGTACTATGGCCATTATGTTGTTCTTCCGCCTCCGTGCCAGGATCTCTGTAGTAGCGCTCCTGTAACTGGTGGTCACTCTCCCTCGTGATGGTGACAGTATCTTTCTCACGATGCTTGTCACTGCCTGCAGTGTTAGAGCTACTCTTGTCATGGCGTCCAGGCTTGGCAGAGCGCAGAGAATTCAGAAGACCAGTTAAGCCACCACGGCTACCCCGGCCACCTTCACTCTTGTTTATACCCGTGTCTGTAGAACTATGCGTGTTATTGCTCTGCACATGCCCCCCGCCATACGCCACCATATCTGGATAACGCACTTGTAAAGCTGTTTCGAAGCTGTGGTCAGAGGCGACTGAGGTTCGGTCAGCAGGTCGTGGTTCAACCTTCACCCAGGGACGGTCCGGGGAAGGCGTTCGCATCAGTCTGGGACTGAGGCGTCGTAGGAGGGCCACCAGGCCACGGTGGCGACGACCCATGGGCTGTGGTCCAGAAGCAGCAGAGTACGGCAGCGTGCTGGCCTTGTGGCGAACAGGCCGGGCTGCCCGTGGTGTTAACTTTTCCATGACGGCCAGACTGATTGCTGCTCTGGGAGGGCCGCACGGAGGTCCTAGACTAACGTCCCTGGCACTACGGCTGAAGCCACGCCACAGTCGGTATTTGGGACCGCAGTGAGGTGGAGTGCTGGTGCGAGGCGTGACCAGAAGAGAGGGAGTTAGTAGGAGTGTAAGGAGACAACCCTCCGACCTGCTGCTGGTGGGGTGCACGGGAGTGCTGACACGGTGAAGCTCGTCACAAGACTTGCTGCAAGTTGGCGCACCTGAAACAAAAGTACAAGATTATCACAGGCTCTCTTATATGATTTAGAGTGGTTTTCATTTCACGATGCGTTTTAGTATACACAGGAATATTATCAACATAGCTGTGATACTTCTGGGGGTATATATTGCATCGACTAAATAAAGGAATTGATTTTATTAACGAGATTGCGACCCTATTATGGCCAAAGCATTTTAGTGGTGATAAGATACCGAAATTCTTTGAGACTGCATCTCTATACTGTACTGTTTACATTAGCTACAGGAAGTAATTCTAATATAAGAAATGATTAATTTTTCTTAATGATATGACAGCGCCCATTGTGGTGTGATCAAGACACTGTAATTTCTGTAATTCTGTTGCGCTATCACTCACAGGATGAGCTGCGGGTACACAATAAACTAGCCGCTCTGGTGGCTAGTTTATTGTCGCTTTGTTCCAATTCATCGTAATGAGGATGACCTTTGACCTTCGTCTACAGTCATGTATGAAGGCGGGGAAATGAAGTCGCGCAGATGTTTTAGGAATATATTTACACTCTTCCTCGAGGGAGACAAGACTTGAGATAATTAGAGCTTGTTACAAGAAACGCGATTCCTAGTAATGATAGAGATCTCCAGTGAACACTAGAAAGTACTGCTCTTCTAGCATCCAGCCTGTTACTGGGTTTTTGTAACAAGTAGTCAGTATCCTGGTCCAATTATCCAATAGAATTTAGTAAGATTCAATAGTGCTTCAGGATTACCACTGGTAGGCTACTAACTAAAGAAATTAAAATTTAATAAGTTTATTAATATCAATAAAGTCGTCTAGGCGTATATTATCAAAGTAAATTAAAGTAATCAATTGAATATAATATAGGATACAAGTTCCTACACTTCTCTCGTGTACAGTAGTATTGTGCTGAAGGCACATATCACATCTTTATGGCTTTTAAGTACCGTCTGGTGCGTTGTTAACATTTAATAACATAATACATATATATACAAGTAAGTTTGTGTGTATGTGTGTAAGTGCTCTATGTAGTTCGCTATGTCTCAAGACTCGACTAGACTTAATCAGTGACTGACTAAAAGTCCTAACATAAACTAACTTCTTGACCAACCTGGCAATCAGAACAGCTTGCTTGAACAATAAAACGACTGTTAAGCCGAACAGCAATATAACAAGCAACAGCGACACAAAATCATGAACAAGGAGATAATATAACGACACTAAGTAGGGACCATCTGCAGATCCTCCACAAAAGTCACAAAACTCCCATACTACTGAATCTAAGTTCAGCATTAGAAAATCCCCGACTGTGACAGTGCACAGATACCAGTACAAATTAGGTCAGAAGCTACAGCTCAGGACCTGAGTTTCTCAGAGTGTCTATGCGACACACAACCTCAGTACAACGTCGAAAATCATTAAGTCTAGGCTATTTTCTGTGAACAGAGTTACACAGAACCAACAACAAGAAAGCGACAGAGACGATCCTCCAACAAGGGCCAGCAAAGGAGCTGGAGAGGCACGTCTTGTTGGAAGCAATGTCAAACAGACAAGAGCGAGCGCAGGCCAGTCAGACTCTCCCTCCAGGTGAGGTGTGATCACCTCACCCTGATCACGTGTTGTCACCTTCTCTAAGTGAGGTGTCACCTCAGGGTTTAATAAATAAAATGTTTTTTCTCTTGCTTCTTTCTATTCCTTTGAAGATGTCTGTGTAAGCAATGAAATCGCTCTGGTTTTATTTCGTATCTTCACTACGGTATTTTTTCATATTTGCAATCACGAGTTATATTGTGAATTCTTCCTTAAAAGACATTGTGTTGCTGTCCTGGGACCCACACTGAAGGTCATCTAAGAAGGGAAGTTAACCAGCTCTTTCCAGCTCTAGGGTAAATTTAATAATGGGCTCTAATGCGTTGATCTGTTAGAGGATCTTGCGCATGCAACATTTTGGAATCTTTATTACGAAAAAGTTTCGTTAATGCTGCGAAAGTCTAATTCCTCAATTTGTCGGGTTTGTAAATCATTTACATGTGTTGTGTATGATAAGACGTCTTGGTTACACCACTAGAATGCTTTCTATGTATCTCAGCCATGTCACAGCATCAGTAATAATTGTTGAAAATGGTATAAAACACCGACAAGCTGAAGGTTAAGACACATGTGCAACAGTTGGGTATCTTAGTGCTGAAACGTTTCGCCTACACAGTAGGCTTCTTCAGTCAAATACAAAAGAGTAGTAATGAAATAAAGACGAAGTAATCAGTCCTTCAACTTTGGAGAAAAAGTTTTTGAGGTGGTCAGTCCCTCAGCCTGGAGAAGAATTCAGCTCTATGGTCTGGAACGATATATCGTTCCAGATCATAGAAAGTTATTTCCAGAATCTCCATGTATATATTAGCTAATACTACGCTGAGTTGACTGCCCACTGCCAAGCCAGAACATTGTAGTAAGCTCCTATTTTCGTATTTAAAATAGCTGAAGTTGATATATAGGTCATAAAACTGTATGAAGTCCTGATGTGTCAATGTGGGAGTCAACAGGGACACTGGTGAAGTCAAAGGTGACGTCAACACAAGACAAGTGTTTATTCTTGACGTTGACGCCGGAAATGCGTAATAGGAGGTTTCCTGAGTGCTGTCAATGTGCGTGGCTGAGTGAACCGAATAAGTGTTTTGCGAGGAGTCCCGTTAACGGGTGTGTGGCGCTTTCTATACCCGAGGTGACGGGTCAGAGACGTATATTATTATTATTATTATTATTATTATTATTATTTATCATCATCATCACAATATTACCATTATTTTTAGCAAAACCCGTAGGGATTATACGATTGTGATGAGGAGGATGGTATTCAGGCTCAATTCAGAGAAATGGATCGCAGATCCAATTCCCTAGATCAAGAGCCGCTCACCAGCGTCAAGAAACTTCCCTAGAGTGGAAATAAGAAGCTATACGGGTGTCTGCCCCCCGCCATCATCCTGACTTTTGAAAGATGATGTGCCGGGTTGCCTGATGAGACCTCGCTGAGAAATCAATATGAACGGGCATCTGCAAGTTCTGTATTTTGTGTGTCTTCCAGGTGGCTGTGGACGAATTTAACCTGAGGGTTTAACACGTCTCCCTCTGTAGCTGAATGTGAGAAGTTGCTATCTCCGGTAGCCCCAGGTTGCTCTCTCAGGTAGTCCCAGGTTGCTCTCTCAGGTAGTCCCAGGTTGCTCTCTCAGGTAGTCCCACGTTGTTATCTCCGATGGTAAGAGGTTACTATCTCCGGTAGTCCCAGGTTGTTATCTCCGGTAGCCCCAGGTTGCTCTCTCAGGTAGTCCCAGGTTGCTATCTCCGGTAGCAAGAGGTTATTATCTCCGGTAGTCCCAGGTTGCTATCTCCGGTAGCAAGAGGTTATTATCTCCGGTAGTCCCAGGTTGCTATCTCAGCTAGTCCCAGGTTACTATCTCAGCCCCAGGGTACTTTCCCCGGTAGTCCCAGGTTGCTATCTCCGGTAGTCCTAGGTTGCTATCTCAGGAAGTCCCCAGGTTGCTATCTCCGGTAGTTCCAGGTTGCTATCTCCGGTAGTTCCAGGTTGCTATCTCTGGTAGTCCCAGGTTGCTTTCTCCGGTAGTCCCAGGTTAATGTCTCCGGTAGTCCCAGGTTGCTATCTCCGGTAGTCCCAGGTTATCTCCGGTAGTCCCAGGTTGCTATCTCCGGTAGTCCCAGGTTGCTGTCTCCGGTAGTCCCAGGTTATCTCCGGTAGTTCCAGGTTGCTATCTCCGGTAGTCCTAGGTTGCTGTCTCCGGTAGTCCCAGGTTATCTCCGGTAGTTCCAGGTTGCTATCTCCGGTAGTCCCAGGTTATCTCCAGTAGTCCCAGGTTATCTCCGGTAGTCCCAGATTGTTATCTCCGGTAGTCCCAGGTTGCTATCTCAGGTAGTCCCAGGTTCCTATGTCAGGTAGTCGCAGGTTACTATGTCCGGTAGTTCTAGGTTACTATCTTCGCTAGTCCCAGGTTACTATTGTAGGTAGTCTCAGGTTGCTATCTCCGGTAGTCCCAAGTTGCTATCTCCGATAGTCTCAGGTTACTATCTCGGGTAATCCCAGGTTGCTATCTCCGGTAGTCTCAGGTTGCTACCTCCGGTAGTCCCAGGATGCTATCTCAAGTAGTCCCAGGTTACTATCCCCGGAAGTCCCAGGTTGCTATCTCCGGTAGTCCCAGGTTACTATCTCAGGTAGTCCCAGGCTGCTATCTCCAGTAGTCCCAGATTACTATCGCAGGTAGTCCCAGGTTGCTATCTCCAATAGTCCTAGATTACTATCGCAGGTAGTCCCAGGTTGCTATTTCCGGTAGTCCCAGGTTACTATCTCAGGTAGTCCCAGGTTGCTATCTCCGTTAGTCCCAGGTTACTATCTCCGGTAGTCCCAGGTTATTATCTCCGGTAGTCCCAGGTTACTGTCTCCGGTAGTCTCAGGTTACTATCTCCGGTAGTCCCAGGTTACTCTCTCCGGTATTCCCAGGTTACTATCTTCGGTAGTCCCAGGTTACTATCTCCGGTAGTCCCAGGTTACTATCTCCGGTAGTCCCAGGTTACTATCTCCTGTAGTCCCAGGTTACTGTCTCTGGTAGTCCCAGGTTACTGTCTCCGGTAGTCCCAGGTTACTGTCTCCGGTAGTCCCTGGCTACTATCTCCGGTAGTCCCAGGTTACTATCTCCGGTAGTCCCAGATTACTATCTCAGGTAGTCCCAGGTTACTATTTCCGGTAGCCCCAGGTTACTATCTCCAGTAGTCCCAGGTTACTATCTCCAGTAGTCCCAGGTTACTATCTCCAGTAGTCCCAGGTTACTATCTCCGGTAGTCCCAGATTACTATATCCAGTAGTCCCAGGTTACTATATCCAGTAGTCCCAGGTTACTATATCCAGTAGTCCCAGGTTACTATATCCAGTAGTCCCAGGTTACTGTCTCCGGTAGTCCCAGGTTACTATCTCCGGTAGTCCCAGGTTACTATATCCAGTAGTCC